TTTATTTTATCAGGGATAAACATTGATAACGCTAATAAAAAAATTATCTGGTGGAGCTTTACTGACTCTATCATCATTGTTAAACATTGACCAACTTGCGGGTTTGTTAAAAATGGAAATACGTATTAGAATGAATGTGTTGCTTTGACCAGTTCCCGAATTACATATTAACATGTATTTCCATTTTTAACGAACCCGTAAGTTGGTGCATGTAGTGCAAATTATGCAATGCACGTATTTCCATTTTTTAACGAACCCGCAAGTTGGTCAATGTTCACGCTAAGGCGTTAACACAGACAAAGAAAACAGAAAAGTGAAGTCAAAGTTTGGGGATTATGCGCTTGCATATTTCTTTCTGCATATTTGGTGTTGGAAATGGAATTGTTGAGCAGTATGAGTTTCCTAGAATATCTATTGTCTGCCCTTGCCGTGTTACCTTTTTCCTTCGAAACAATATGAGTTTCCTGATATCCACTGCCGTATCTTTCCATTAGATAAAATATTTCCGTCAAGCCATGTTATGAAACGCAAGCAACGGGTACCAGTTCTTTTGGAATGAGGTAACCAAATTAGGTTAATTACAGTGTCTTGGCATCTTCCCGTTAGAAAAAATATTCCCACCAAGACGCATTACCCCTATAAGGTAACCAAATTAGGTTAATTACACAGCATCAACAAAACACAATGGTCTTTACACTTTATCAGCGGTTGAAGTTTAACTACCGAATAATTAATTGCAACAGCAAAGACTAAAAAGCATAGAATTGTATGCTTTAATGTTGCGTTATAACTATGCATTTCGTGTATATTCATGATGAATGAATATGAACAAAGTGAACGTTTGTCAGAAACTCAAAATCCGATGAACTGCAGCACAGCGATCATCACCTGAGCCGATAGTGCACAATTTATGTAACATGACACACAAGCCACAAATTTTTTAGGCGCCGACCGGACGTTGTGTAGCATGAGGCGATAATTTCAAGCTTTATTTTTATTTCGGAAAAGGAGTGAAATTAATTTTATTTATTTGAGAAATGATGGTGTTATAAGTTAAAACTTTGTTGCTACTTGATGTAGTCATTAATAGTCCCATTGCCTGTGTCGTCGCCAGTTTTGACGACAAACTTTTAGTTTGGAGTTTGCTGGAGAGTGCGACTGCTTCTTGTCGGAGACCGAAGTATGTTTTTTGTTCTTGCAGCTATTGCAAGGGTTTTTTTTGGTCCCTCTAAATGCAATATCGTGTGATTATGGACGTAGTATGATCTACAAAAAGTCGCGTAGCAAAGTCCTTGATATCTTTGCTGTTACATAATCGCATTAAGGGTTGAACTGCTTATGTTCAGGTTATTCTGGCTGGGTTATGGGGATGAGGGGTGTGTTGTATTATAACGTGACATGTTCTTAATTATGAGTAATATACTATTTGATATCTTTACAGTATTAGAATTTCAAAGTTTTTCACGTTTCCACGAATTTAATAAAAAAAATTTTTTGTATTAATACGTTTGGTTTAATAACTTTAAGCGCCAGATGTGTGCGGTGAATCAAATGATAATTCTATGACATCAATGTCTTCAGCCTCCAAAAGTGCAAACACGTTGAACGATGAACAAAGAGTAGCTGTTAAGACAAAAACTTATACGCAAGCAATATCGATATTGTTACTTACAGTGTCTCGTTTACTGAAATGAACAGAGAGTATTAATCCTTCAGTAAAAGACATAGAACGGTCCAGCATCCAAGCTTAGAAAATACATGAATGAGTTATTATTATACAAATGCAGGCCAAAGTAATATTAACTGATGCTATCTAGGTGCAAAAAGCCAAAGACTTTTCGCAATTGTTGAATATACCTGACGACTATTTCATAGTTTCCTAGTGGTCAGTTGTCAGGTTTAAAAAGAGACATGGACTTAAGCAAAAAGAGAAGCTTGCATCAGCAGATAATACTGCGATTGTTAAAACTATCCCCGAATTAAAGGAAATACTGAAAAGTTATGATGTAAAGATATATTCAATATGGATAAGACGTCTTATTTTACCGGCAAAATACAATTAGATTTTCATCAATCATACTGTTATTTATGTGTTTATTCTTAGTCTTGAAGCGGATGCTACAGGATGCTACATTGGCAACGACTCGTCTTAAAAGGACAGAGAGCGATTAACTATAGCATTGTGTGCTAATGCTGATGGACATAGTATATTAATGCAATGAGATCACGTGAAACAAATGACTAACTGCTAGGCCTTTCTTTGACTGTGTATACAATATTGATGTTGAGGCTGGCATCTGTTATATATAATGTGTTCGTATATGACGTATGATATTGGAAAGCATTTCCACCCACTCACCAAAGTATTAGTAGTTAAACTATAGCAAAATGCTTTTGACTAATTAATAGAACGATAAACAATAACAAAATGTCTTTTACTATTACCAACGATTAGCATTGTTGTCGTGGCCACAAATACTATTCGCTCTGTTCTGTATTATTTATCATTTCAGTATCTAAATTGCAACTAAAAATGAATTGTAATCACGACAGCCGAACAGTTTATTTTCAGGTAGTTCATGAATTGTTTGCCTCATAGCAGATTATGCATCGTTATAATTTTATTGATATCATTCGATCGTCTAAACAGCATAACGGTATGCGAAGCAATTGAGTTAGAATGTATCTCAACAGCACATTTATATTGAAAGTGCTTTTGATAATATCTTATTGCTAAACGTCAAATTGCGAAGAAGAGTTGAATTTAGTTATGCAACAGCTGTAGTTAGGTAAAAGCTTACAAACCTACATGTGTTACTGTGATGAAAAAATTTTTGCAATGTCTCAATTTAAAATGGAGCTGGCCGTTTTTGGGATTCCTAGAACGAGCTGGCCCATTCTTAGTATTAGAATGGGCCAATTCCCAAAATAGACCATAACAATAATATTACAATTTGGGTAATTGGACTCTAGTCATCGAGGGCTAGCAATCGCAGAACGATTTAATAAGACTTGCGCAATGTTATATAAAATTCAATACGCAGTTGAATCTCTATCTTCAAATCCCAATTAATAAGAGCATGGATTAAGCATTTGCCAAAAGTTATCGATGACTTGAATACGTATCCGAGCACCCCATTCGAGCTCCGGAATCTTCGAAGTGGGGTTTAGCCATCCACAAAATATAAGCGACCAATCGGAAATAATGAGAAAAAGTTAAATGAAGGGGGACACAGTTCGATATTTACTTGCTAACGCCGAATGGGAAGGTGGCATGGAAACTCAGAAAAAACAACAGATCCAATATGGACTCTGAATTTATTTAGAATTCGTTGTTTCTGAAAACGAACCAGTTTTATATTATTTAGATGGCGAATATGCCCCATCACGTGCATTTGTGAGGAAATTTCAGTATTCGCCTCGAAGCATAGTATCTGCTTCGCAGAGCGCTCTGCGCCTAGGAAATCAACACAGTCAGTTAGTTCATACGACCCCAGAGATCGAAGCGAGATTATGTATGCAACAAGGTATAGATCTTGTTGAGATTCCGTATACTTGCCTTCTACACTATATCCACATTCGTTTGGGTTGGGACACACCTTGATCGTCGAATTATTAAGACAACGGACAATACTTATTGCCTACGGTATTTCGAAGCTGTTGTGGTGATAAGATTGAGTAGCGGATGAAGCACTAGTGAAAGTTTGTCCGTTCAGTTAGTAAAGCAAGTGCTTGAAAGCGTACAGTAATTTGGCAAACGACATTTATTTTAATAATTGTTTAATTAGTTTTATATTAAAAGTGACGCACATTGACTAGTCAAAATACCAGATCAAAGTATCACCCTGTTTATTAAAGGATGTTCCCTTTTGATTCTACAGAATAGTATACGTTATTGGTATTACTTGTAGATTTCCATTGCTTGGATACGAACGTTGGATTACGTTACGTATAGGAAAATAGGAAGCGCGCATAATCAATTAATAAGAAACGTTACTTATAACCTAGCATTCAGTTTTAGTTGATACTGTCGCTGTAGTAAGGGCAGCGATAGCTGAGCAAATCTCCCTGTCGGCCGAACCGCCTACAGGTCGCTCTCCTATAAATCTCCCTACTTAAATATGCCAACAGCAACAATTGGTAGGGATTCCGTGGATTCTATACATTGTATCCAAATCTAATTAAACAAAGTGAATGAGCGAAAGCTCAAGCAGAAGATCTGAAACTAGAAGCAATACCAACGAATTTTAATTGAAAGACGAAAACAGTCAGTCCAATATCGCTACGTCCACATTCTTATTACCGACCGCAACTCACCAAATTTAACAAGATACGCTGTACGGTCTGCGATTCTCCGGACGTAGACGACGATATACGTATATAATTGTTTAGTACACATCTTCTTAAAGTTCGATTTTCAGTTTATCAAAAGCAAATATTCGAATATCAGTCAAAGTAATTAATATTTTAAACGTATTAGTATTAAGATCCTTTACGCTTGGAAAATTCCGGCAAGTCTGACAACACTTGCGAAAACAATAATCCGAAAATTGCGACGCAACTTGGGTTCAAACAACTTTTTAAATCCAACCATTCACATTGAAGTTTTCAGTAACTCCATAAATCATTCACCCCATTTAAACACGCCAGCCAAACGAGCGAAAAACTTATATACTCGTACACGTAACTCATTTGATCCCTCAGACCCGAAATCACCATTATCAACTAAGAGTAAGAGTAAGGGAGAAAGAGTGGCTAGACAAGTTATTAGTCCAGAACAAAGTAAAGCAAGTAATCAGCCGACGAGCTATCTGCTAGCGTAGTCTTAGACGCTGACTGTCAGTGAAAGACCCGAAACAAAGTCTTTACGGATGTCGAATCTGAAAATACTGAATCCGAATCGAATATCAACAATCAGTATTTCGAACAAGAGCAACCGCAATTCGAACCCGAACCTCAGATACCGAATCAGAAGACAACGTCCCAGTACAAATAAATCCATGTCCAGTACACGCACACTAATTCCAATGGTGCGAAACGCAGATTACCCGGTTTTTGACGACACTGGGCCCGGAGCTTGGGCTAAAGCCATGGACATCACATTTGCAGCAAACCAAGTGCAAATGATCAAGTACAGGTCAATATGCAACCGCACATTTAGGCAAATATATTGATTGGTTCACTAACCAATCAGTGTTTACGCACTGCACTGGAGGTAATAATGCCCGGGATCGAAATTTTAAAGACATATTTCTTGAATACTTTGCGGAACCTGAGGAACGTAATCACGCGATATCGCAAATGTGGAAACGCGACGCTAATGGACTCGAACGAATCTAGAGTGCAACTGAAGTTGACGTCCCAGACGCGACTAAACAAAGTCAATTTATAGACGGATTGGATCTATCTATCCAACCCCTGATACCCGCAAAATATAGCTAGTGCTATTGCCGCAAGTAAGCGAGAACCAGGAGGGGGAGGTTACGGCACCTATAAGAAGATAATCCTATAGTAGCGGGGTTATTAGCTCAAGTCACGGAATTGACAGAACAAGTAGCAGAAATGAAAAGCGTACAAATGACGCGTTTAAAGCGCGAGTACGTAGACAACTGCGGAAAGAATGGACAAAAGGAAGAAAATTGTTGGTTTAAAAACAAAGTAAAAGTAAATGCTTCGGATGCAGAAAAGTTGGACATATTGCGAAAGATTGTTGGAAAAGAAGATGAAAGCCACTCCATCAGGAACGCTTTTAAAGCCAAGTTAATTGAGACAGATCCCCCTGTCAGCTAAACTGCCCACAGTTTGCTCTCCCATAAATTTCCCTAATTAAATACGCTGATACAACACTTGCAGATATATGGTACACGCTTTCAGTAATAATAGTAATAATTTTTACTTATGTTTTTATCTTGCTAATTATTTTTAAATAATAGATTACAATGCAGCTGTATACAAAATGGCTATACTTTTTTGAGAATTATACAGTATGTATTTAGTATTAGAGTCAATATAATGCATATGTGTCTGTGCATACTGTTGTTCCTTTTATTTTAAAGTATATTTAATACGTTATGTTTTTTTTTGAGTCATTTTGTTAATTTGTTTTTGTATATTAATATATAAACTAAATTAATGTATTGTTGATAGGAAATACTTGCTAAAATTTAAATAATTTACATAAATTAATTTTTTACAAATTGTCATTATCATATTTACTTAATTCCTTTATTTACCAAGAATAAAATTTTTGCTCCTCCGGATTCGAGATGTGTATGACTAGTTATTTGTACATACAGCATTATTTTGCAAATTAAAAATTACTGACAAATAATAATTATTTTCTTTACGTTTTTGATCGTATAACGGACTAGCGTGGTTTGTTATTTAATGCTGTATTTTTCTTCATATCTACGCCAAAGAACCATCTAAATAAAAATAGTTTGTCATTATTCACAAACATGAATAGTAATCTCGCGTTATTTATTGATTGTATTAACTCTTCTATCTCATTTGACGTTGGACTCTAAAAGTTTCTAAACCGCCTTAAAATTTTCAATTTGCAACTCTTTTTTTTTTTAGGAAAAAAAAAGGCAATTTGACTTACTTTATATACTGCCAATTTACTCATTAAACATAGAAACATATAGCTATTTGCATAGAATTGTGGCAAATAAACTTGTCTATTCCATTCATATGTTGCAATCGCTCCCGAGTGAAGATGTTGTTTTAATTACTTGTTTTGATTGCGATAAACCTATTCGTTCTGTATCTGATCGTTGCTCGAAAATACAGAAAATTTACATTTTCCAAACCAACTTGAGAAAAATTTATATACCTTGTCATCCAATTATTTGTGTTGATACGCCCAATAAATAAAAGACAAATTTTTTTTGCTCAATTTTTTCGCAAGCAACCGGGTATTTGAGTGCAACGAGAAATAGGCAGGCGCGAAACAGATTACTGGAGTATTTTTGGAATTTGCCTTTGGACTAGTTATTCTTCAAAAAATTTATTACAACCTAAAGCACCGAGAACCCTGACGATAAAAACGCAAAATTTGCTTGCTGTTCTGGTTAACAGTTCTAGCTACATTTTTTTGAACAAATGGAAATGGGATTAAAATTTATCCTGTCAAATTGTTTACATAACTAAAGGGTCTAAAAAATTGACTAAAAATTTTGCTGTTTTTTTATGTTTTTAAAACGTACCAGTAATATATTTCGTAAAACAACTTAAATGTTATTTAAATAACGATGATATTAAGTACAAAAAAACCACTAACATTTCTATAGAAACGCGAAATTAATGTTGTTGTTTTGATAATTTACAGACATTTAAGTTCAATAAAATGTAAAAATGATACTTAGAAAAGCTTTAACTTTGGTTTCAAGTAATAATAATAATGTCATAACCCAAATCTGTCCTGAACAAACTACTACATCTAATCCTAAATTGAGAAAAGACAATCTGTGTGTATTGTGGTGGTGTTTAATATAACAATTTGCGGTTACCGCATAAAAAGTGTTGGGCAGAGGAGAAGAGGAACAGTATGTTATAGAAATAATTATAACAGGACATCCAGACGAGAAAGGAAGACATATTAATATAATTTGTCTCTTCCTAACATGCTGTGTCTGATATCATTGTCATGTCATTACTTTGCTAGTGAATATTGTTGCCTATTTACAAAATCAAGATATAGTCAACAATCGCAAAAATGCATTTTGATGCCATGTATATGTTGCAGGATGTTTAATTCAAAATTCTTAATTGCGTAGAATGGAAAAGGTACAGGAGATTGTATTGTTTTTAGTACTATTGGATATTATAGTTGTAATCAATAAAATGGTAGAGTTTTGCTAAATGCCATCTTAATGTCGCTGCTGTTTATTTAGATACTAATATAAATTTAGTATCTTAATTATTGTCATATTCTTGAAACAAAAACTTGTAACTAAAATTTAACGAGTTATTACTTCTCTTGGGCAAGCATGCTGCCGTCTCATGTACAGTATCAGTCTGAACGATGCAAAGAAGGAAACACTTACAACAACTTACAAAATTCTGTCAAGAAATAAGCTATAAAATTGTAGATATCGTAGTTGTGCCTAAATTCGACAATAAATTGATTTTATTAAAAGAATTAAATACCAAGTTACAACATTGCTCTATTACGTAAATCAAGCAACAAACCATTTTTTCAAAACGACCGTCGCTTCTTATTCGAAATACTAACTTTAAACAACATTGTAAACTTATAAATTAGTGATTATGTAGACTACTCCGATTCGCATGACGTATCATGCAGAAATTCGCTTCTTGCAAAAGTTTGCTTATTATTTCTACCTACGAAAAGGGAGAAGATGCGGTATTCTTGATTTTAATTAGTTGCCAGGCTCTATAAACAAGTTAAATCGGGTCATTAATACGTTAAATAGAGTTAATTGTCCAAGTATATCTATATGCATATCTATACACTTACATAAAACGCACAGACCTCCAAACTTTATTGTTTGCTTTACAATAGATCAGGAGCTTGTCTAAGAATTCCTTGCCCTTTTGAATAAAAAGAGTAGGAACGTGGATAATTGCATCAAAGAGTTGCGTTATGAATCGAACCATAAAGTAACATCTATTGGGTTCTATTCAAGTATGTTGAATACATCCCATCTATCAGAGATTGTCGTTGCCTCTACGGTCATCGTCGCTGTACTCCATTTTCCGGCGGCATTGGAGAAAAAACTCGTTGTCTGCGTCTATTACATTAAGGTACTAATATTAACAATTGTTTGGCGAATAGTTAAAAGCCTCGACTAATCGAACAATAAGTACCAGCGAGTTTGAAGATTGCCATACTGATACAACTTGCGATTTGTGTTGGAACGTTGTAGACGATTATCAACATGTTGTCATCACGGCGATGTCGGATATTCGCAACGATTGTTCAGACCATTGATAATATAAACTGTTATAAAAAGAGAAAAATCTGTGAGAACCAATTATTGCCTGATGGATCGGACTACCCGAACATTCATGACGTATTTTGGCATTAAGGGCTAAAGGTTGGACTGTTTCGTCATAATGTTATAGGTCCTACCTTAGACAATAGAATGGTTTGTGCCTTCATCGAGTGTCTAGACCTAGTGCGACGGAGTTCAAAACACGACAAATGCCGATTGGTGTCTCATATTGGATGATAGGTTTGGGATTTGCGATGTAATGATCGAGGCCTTTGCTAAGATCTATTTCGGACTTTTTTTTTTGCAATTTGTGGCATATATAATAATGGCAGAATGATAGGATGGGAATGGTAGAGCCGATGCGGGCAAATTTAACTTGCACTTAATCATATTAGAAGCGTTTGTTAAGCATTTTTCATATGCACGAATGAGGGGCGGGTAAATATTGAGGTATTGCATATTGTACCTACTAAACAGTATGGGGGTTCCATAGTAAATTCTTTTGGCGCTGTGTGTAAAATGAATTATAAAATGTGCTATTAAGTATGTGTTTCAAGTTTACTGTGAAAAATATATGCAAGTACGTAATAGCTATAAATGTGCAGATATATTCTTGACTCAAAATAGATGTTTTAAAAAAAAAAGTCACTCGGCAAAACGTTAGACTTTTGTGCAACTGATCGAAGGATAGCAACAGCAGAATAAACAACGTTTCACAACATCTGGATGCATAAGCATCCCTCAATTGAATACTCGAATATGCGCACGTGTCAAAAAACTCGACATCCTGTGGCGGTTATGAACCTGCATATTGTTATACCAAAACCCACGTGTGTTCTATCTATAGTCGGTAGATTAGATGAAGGAGAAAAAAAAATAAAAATGGAATGTAACTTTTACAAATGGTGTGTGCAAAGTGTGTCAGCTGTAAGCCCTGGGGGTGTTGGGCGTTTATTTTTAATAACATCAGACGATATATTTATCAGAAATACAATAATAATAAATGTATATATATCAAAATGTGCTACGAACTATTTTACATGCGTTCAACTGTTTAAGACTGTCCCACACTGCAGGACTGTCAATGCACAACATACACAAGAGTAAGGAATTCATGTTGTTCGAATAATAAAATTGTAAGGGAAAAAAAAAAAGAGGATGCTTAGCGATACGATACCATATAGATAAGATTCGTCCTCGAGAAAATAAATTGTTATCCTTTCAACAAGTCTGCGTTGTTGGACATCAAATAAACGCAAATAATACAAGCTTGTTTATGACAACCTTCTTTTGGGTCTTGGCTTTTGTTTATGAAGGACAGAAAATATGACGCTACAAAATGACGTTATTAGTAAAGCACTAACTTCCATACAAGGAACTAAGAATGCACTGGGGGGATGGGAAATCGGCACATATATCACACGTTATAACAATGCTCCGCTATTTTTATTAACTGATTGGTGCTCGTTATATCTTGCAGATTTTTGCATCTCACATATTTTTTCAATATAGCTTTTTTTTTGAATTCAGGTAATTACGTCATATATTGAATGTAGGTATCAAATTACAATTTATTATGCGAGTGATTTTAAACTACAAGTAACAGAGAAACTGTATTGTCTTCTGACTACCACACGACACTCTTGTGCATCCCACCGAGTACAGTTGTTTGTTCGTCGTCAAACCGTCAATCTGTTAAGCGTTGTTGATGCACTCCAACACAAACAATGTATATTAGTGTTTCACTAAATTAATAATTATCTGATTAGAAAAGCCTTTTTCCATTAACGTTATCTATTTTGGTAGCCCATTACTGTTAATGTTAATTGCTATTTACTGTCGCTGTCGATTGCTGCAGTTTGGAATATGCAGCTATCACGGTTATTTACATTATATAACGAACGATTGAATCAGTTTATATCAGTCTGCCACAAGGCCAACATGAGCCTAACCATTCTTAAAAATAGTTATACTTGCCTAGAAGCATATTCTGAATGGAATGTAGATATGTAACAATAGCGAATTAAATTTTCGGCGTACACCATTTTCTTTGAAAAAAAATTAATTTCTGTGTGACAAGTTAATACGCTGTCTGAGCCAGTAATTTTGCATGTATGTATGCAGGTCGTCTAGGTTGTACGGTTTTTTTGTTCCCTTTTTTTTTTTTTCTCACACCTATCAAAGTTTCCTGCTTGGTCACGCCTCCTTCCATTCTCAATGCATTTTCGGAAAATCAACCGAGACGTTGATTACGTATCATGGTGGTACTGAGATGAAAAAGCCCGTGTTACCTAGAAGGACTTTGCTGTTTTGATGTCAAGAATTCTTAGAGCGTTCTATATGTAACACTATCAAGATGAGGGGCAGAGTGGGGGCTGTAAAAAAAAGTACAGAGTTTAGATATAATTGATACGTGACAACTGATACGTAGATTGAGTTTAATACAGATATGCTGAAAAATTAATAACGTTTTCATACAATTCCTGATATGTAAATGATGGATGACAATAGCAACAATAACAATGCAACAACAATAGCACAGTAACAATAATGCCAAGTGTAGCAGCAGCAATACCAGCAACACAACAATAATATCGTGATAACATCTTGAACTTTTAATTTTACAATCTTGCCAAAAAATGTTAAATGTTTTATATTCAATGAACATATATCTCGGAACATGAATAAACACCAGCACCGCCAAAAAATTTAACCCTGCGTAAATGGGTACATGAAGAGGTTTCTTTGTTGCAACAAAATTCTTTGTCTGAATTCATGTAACAATAACGATTGGGACAAGTACGCACAGTAAGAATAGAATATGTAATTACATTATACGAAATATATATTTATCAATTGACGGGGATATACATTGCATTGGGTAACTAGACACAACTTCCATTACGGAACTACTCCACTATTCAAATGGCGATAGACCTATCACATGAATAATGCGTTTTCGAATATGGAAAGTCGTGTGAGGTGGTGTGATTACGGAGGGCGGAAAGTTGTTGTTACACTTTGGCTACTGTATGATATTATTGGTAAACTTTATTGCCGCGAATTTAGATGCTGATCTGGACTCGGGGGGAGAGGCGTTGATTGCCGGAAAATATCCCTATCAAAGAGTATGAGATATTTTGTGTTGTTTTTTGTTGTATTGAAACTACTACTAGAGAATGATGATCACTAAGCCCAGCTGCGGTTTTTATCACAGATTATGTAAGCGTTTTTAGGAAAACTTTATTGCAAGTATTACAACTCTTAGCTGTGGTGGCTTGCGACTTGATTACTGCTCACTTTTGCGATTATATTATTTTCTCTATGTATCGTCATTTTCGGAGAAAATAACATGCATATGCATAGACAGTGTACATATGTATGTATTACGCCCGATTGTGAACTTAATTATCAGCGGATTTGTTCAGATCTCGAATGGTTTATCATTAATGCTCGATACAGAACAAATTAAATGTAAATACATTTACAATGACAATTAAATAAAATTTTTTTTTATGTTTGGAGTATCAATTCGACATTTTTATCATCTTTGACTTATCTATCTGCATCAACATCGACAAGCCTTTTAATTTTTCCCTTATACTATGTGGCATCATCGAAGTACCTGCACGTAGACCTGCTTTTGTACTCTCATCAAATCTGCAGTCTAAACCCTAATCGTTAGTTAGAACGAACCAATGGAGGGGAGGAAACGCAAATAGTTAAGGATGTCCAAGGGACTGTAGAACTCAACAGTTATGTTGTGATGAAACGAGACGGGACTAAAGGTAATGAATTATATATAATATCAACACGTGCGAGATACATTTCATAGCGTTCTATTTATATGAAATTCTCTGTACAAAATTGGAAATAAATCAATTGAATTGCTTGGCAAAGGTTTTTCGTCAATCTCTAATTTTTTAATCGTCTTATTCTGTGATACTCATCGAGGGGGGTGTGTGTGCGTGTGTTTGTGTATTAGAGGGTTTATTTGAATAGGGTCCATAGGGTTTTTTTGGGTCAGCGCCATGTTTGAAATTTGAATGTTACTCTCATTTAATCTTGATGCAGCTGATCATCCTTCATCCCCTTAAAGGGTTTGCACTTCTTAACTGGATATGTGAGAACAAATATCTTATACTAGGACATTGGTTGGATATGAACGATGAACGAAATATAACAGCGTGTTGATACTAATTTCTTAGTGTTTCACTTTCAAATGTGAAAACGACGGGAAAGGCATTTTACTGGAATAACTAACATCACTACAAAAAGGAATTCTATACGACATTTCTCATCACGTTACTTGTTCTTAATAAATATTTCTAATTTATATATTAATTGTAATAACAATACATTGTAAATCTCTCAGGTTGAACCGGATTTCTGCACATCACACAATAAAATGGGCTGATTTATTTAGTACATTGTTGTTGCTGTGTCTGTCGTATAGTATGTTGCTATTCTACTGTAGTCTCCTAAAGTAGGGATTGTACGGTGGTCAATGCGGAAAAGTTGATAGTACCAAAGGTTGTCGATATCAAAGCTGTCGAGATTGACACTCTCATCACTTATCTCTGTATATACGATGTATGTAAAGAAGACTTGCTTGACACTGCCATTTTTTACTCACGTTCAAAATTTTTTACAAATAAGAGTGGTTCGTCGTTTTTTGACACTGGGACTAGCCGTCGAGTAGACCAAATATATAAACTTGAATGCCTGTTGAGATAGATTAATATTTTTTTGTCTCGCCAATTAATATACCTGCCGTCCATTCATTGGTCAATTATGTAGCTATGTACTACACTTCGCTTTTCCCGTTCTTTTCCTAATATTATAACTGTCAATATAAATACCGTTCAGTCTTTCATGCATGCATTTTGCCGTGTGTAACACCACTGGCAGATGAAATAAATGGGAAATATAATATAAACGAGAAATAAAACATAAAACGAAAAATTAAAGAAAAGATAATGAAAAGTGCTAAGAGTCAGTGATGCCGCATGGTATTATTTGTCTTACCGCTTGTGTTTCGAGATAGAACAATAATTTCAAGTCAGCACAAACTGGCACACATTTTTCCAAGTGTTGATGCCATTTTCGCATTAGTACCACGTTTGACAAACTTGCCTTCAAAAAAAGATAAAATACGTTCACTTGTCGATTCGTACCTGTCAATTTCACATCTGGCATTTGACCAACTCTTTTCATAGCTACTTATAGTCGACATCACGTGAATATCCAACAAAACCCTCATGCCATTTAATTATAGATAGACAAATAGTGTATCAATTAATAAAAATATATATAAAAAAAAATTACATATACAAATATTATATGCATATATAACATCCGCTATTGCTTAGTATTTATAAAATCCCTTTAAACAGCAGATAGAGAGAAAACATTAGAATATTACAAAAATTTCCTCGCATATCATTCCAACGTTTGTACAATGAGTCTTTTTATTCTGGATGATATGATTGTCGACGAGTCCAATGACAACATGGAGAATAAGCGCGTTAAAATCACTACTGCATGCGACATTTGCAGAAGAAGAAAAGTTAAATGTGATGGCGCTTCTCCATGTACCAATTGTCAACGAGGAGGTAAGAATTCATGTCTAGTTTAAACCATTGAAATTATATTGGCTAATCAAGCACATCAACAATTGACAACTCGTACACATTATTTTTGCTAAACACAGGCTACCAATGTGTCTTCTCTGACGCATCGACTAAACGTCCCCGAGGACCACCAAAAGGTTTTGTTGCACTCATAGAAGATAGATTACATACTATAGAGTCGCTTCTGGTCAATCTTGTAAATAAAGACACGAGCGACACCAAAGAGATCAAACGTGAACATGATCCACCACCATCCGACGACAAATCCGACCACCAACGCTTCTCCTCATTCAAAATACGTCATTACTCTCCTCCATCCGTCTCTTCCGATGCTCAACCAGTATTTCTTCCCAAACCCTCTCCGGCTGATCCAAATCATACCAAATCTTTTGGTGATGACCTCCCCGAAGAAGACGAAGAGGCATTACAAAGGTCAATCAAATCATTGAATATTTTAAATTCAACTGCGTTTCTCCTCGGGAATCCTACATATAAATCGCGCGAACCGGCGTTACCAAACAGTTTCCCTTCTGTGCCTCAACCACCACAAGAGGTGGTCAAGCAATTGTTGGAAAAGTATTTTACGCATTTTCATATGCACACGCCTATAGTCAACAGAGCTCAATTGTACAGCCAGTTATTAAGCACAGATAACCCCGTGTCGCCTTTGCTACTTAACGCTTTGTGTGCTGTTGGAGCCATGTTTCCTCCCATTTTGCAGGATTTGTATACTCCCACGGTTTTTTATGAGCGAGCAAGAAGTAAGTCGAAAAGAGCTTGGAACAAAGAGTCGAGAAATTTATATGATGCGCGTGGGGAGCAATGGTGTATTATAGAAGTTACATAGTCAAAAAAGTCATTGAATTCATCATTATTAATTAACACACGCCATAAAAAATTTTTTCTTAGGTTTATTGGATAGCTTTATAGATACACCGCGTCTGTCAACAGTCCAAGCTTTGATACTGCTTTGCATGGTAGACCAATGCAAAACAGTGTCCTATCGCCAACAAACTTACATTTCCATGGCAATACGCATGGCCCAATCGCTCGGTCTCCACAAGCGCAACAGTCCAGCGTACCAGGGCAAGTACTGTCAAACGAAAAAACTAATCTGGTGGGCTTGTTACGCGCTCGATCGTCTATCCAGCATGGCCACGGGTGACCCGTTGCTAATCTCTGACGAACTATGTGACATTGATCTGCCTTCGCCAGACGAGATGGAAAACCAAGAAGGAAACGTCCAAAAAATGACTCACACTAATGCTAGCATTCAGCTAGTAACGATATTTCTGCATATGGTGAAACTGACGCAATTAATGGGCCAGATAATCGAGTATTCACAGACGATGGCGGCTATGGGACTGGCCGCTTCTTGGGCACATCATAATACGGTCGCGTGTTTAGAGGCGGCACTACTGAATTGGACTAAAGAGTTACCGCATCAGTTACAGTTCCCTCCTACTCCGCATAATACGCCTTTTTCTGGACATAGCGCTGCGTTGTTTATGCATTATCATGCGTTACAAGTGATGTTGTTTTATCCCTACATTTTATCGGCCGGCTCGCAAGGACCTAATATGCGATTTAACAAGACTTATATTAAGGCTCTGAGTATATGCATCACTGCTGCACAAAACATTACAAATATCGGAGGTACGTTTATGGTTTTCGCATTAGCACGCGTGTTTGATTTCTCTCCATTTTTTAACCATATCATACGTTCCTTTTTTTCACAGGAACCCTAAACAACGTCTACGTTAGCACCGCCTTTCCATCAATATTCCACTGCCTAGCGCAAGCGACCAAAGTCCACATTCTCAACCTGTCCGCTTCTAAGCGAGGCCTGCTCCTTCCTGCATACAAAAACATTTGTAGAACAATCTTCATATATAGGTTCTATGCAGAACACGGTGTCATGACTGAACTCGCAAATCAAATGGTAAAGGCTCTCGAACACATCCTTCATACCAATCGCGAACGTGTCGCTCACAGTGATGACAAAGTCTCATCTACGGTGACAAAACTTCACTTGACGCACCCGCTGGCCGTAGAGGACAAGAACCCATCAGAAAATCCAGGGACGATTCCGACACCGGTATGCTGTCCATATTCACCTCCAGTATCGACGCAATCAAGTAGTCCCACTGCCGGCGATCTAGCAACACGGACGCAAAATATCTATATACAGTCGCAAGATTCTCCGATCCAATCAGTCATGAACGTAAACAATAACCAAGATAAAGCTTTCATGCCGATAGACGTCTCTAATCAATTCTCGTCGGAATTCTTCTCGCCTGGCGTGATAACCGTACCGACCACATCAGACATTTCCTCGACCGACCCACAATTTTGGAACGTTGGAATGAACCTCATGAACTTTGACGAGACTTTTGATACCGCATCGGCGGCGACACCGACCACGGTGACAAACAATCTGGCAACAATGACACCGCCACAAAATTATTCTCCTTACCAACATCAAAATGCATCCACACCAGCTTCAATGGCATCTCCTGTGTCATCTTCAGACTTTAAAGACAGAATTCTGTCGACTCATTCACCGTTAAGTTCTCTCGAAAACGATACAGATTGCGAGAACTCTTTAACGGATGATGTTGCAAATGTCGGGACACGCCATCAGCAAAGGTATGTCTTGTGTGATGGACTTGCTGGAGTTTTTAGTGATAGTGAAGACTCGTGGTTGGGTGTTAGTGGTGCATTAATGCACAACTTGTCGGTGGCTTCTTGATTTTTACGAGGGAGTGTTGATTGGCATAGAAAATCTTGTGTGCGAGAAGTTTTTGATGGTTGCTTGCAATTATGATCTTTAGAAAATGACTGGAAGAAAACAGAGCTCTCCCCTGCTTGTCGCGTGATTAACTGTCATCGCCCTTGTTTTCCCTGCCCATCTTCCATGCTCTTCCATCGAAAAAAGATCCACACAACGTCGACTATGTCATTGATACCTCCTCCTCTCCTCTCTTGCCTTGGTTATTCTGGTGAATTTGCCGCAAGTTGTTGTCATTATGTTGTCCGACGAGAGAAGGGATCGCTATTGCTATAGTCGGCTGTGCATTCACCCGCTATGATATACGATGACCGGATCTTTTAATTTGCCACCTACCGATATCGAGCGAGGATTAAAGACGCTTGTTGAACAGTGTGGTGAATTACATGTATTATATTAATATGTATGGAGTATTCGGAGAGAGACAAGAGTTGTGTTTGGACAAGAGAATTACACATTTTAAGCAGGTCGGATTCTGCATATTTTATTTATTGACCCTGGTGGTCGGATGTATTTTCTATTGTTTATCATTTCCTACACAATGTACTGATATCTTCGCACGCATTCATTTTTACTTGTATCATTTCACGAAATATTCGTATTTGTGATTTTCATATTTTTGTATATTTATTTTTTTCCCTACTTATTCTTTGTTCTATTTATTTTATTTTCTTTATTTTATTGCTTATAAGCATATAGTAATGTCATATGCATTTTAACAATTATTTACAAGGTTTCTACATTATAATAAAAAAGTAAAATTCTTACCCGAATTATCGATTATGTATGGGAACGTTAGAAATTTTGACCGAGAAAACTCGCGAACTTTGTGATGTAAACATTTAACATAGATATGTAACGTTGAACAAAATTTCCATTTTGGGGGAAAGGCTAAAAGCGGAGCAGAACGTGATCCCGTTTTGCAGTTTTATTGGCTGCCATACAAATTTGACCAATGGAATTTCGAGAGATCTGCACCGCTTTAGACATGCCCCATTTTTGGTCAATGAAAAACGATTCACAGTTTATTTGCTCAACCAAATTTAATAAATCAAATAATTTATTGTATGTATCGATCGCAACATTTTCTTACTGTTTCGACTTGGAACAAGTCTTTTAGCTCGAATCCTTTTGGTGGATGAGCATATGTCCGCGTATACAAATACAGCAGGACTAACGCCATATTCCTATCTCATCGTATAACCCCATACTAATTATTATTCAGTGACGGCAACAATCCTGCCCTCAATAACAGGCGACACGGTAACCCATTCTCGCTTAAAACCATCTTCTCCAGCAGACTCCTTGTCTAGCTCATCCTTGGCCTCAGGAACAATATCTACAACCTCACCACATGATAACGCCAATGCATCGCAGATACTCTTTCTCGACAAATGCCCTTTGCTATCTCTCTCACGTTTTACTTTTTTCAAGCCTTTCCATTTCTCAACAGCTTTGGCAACAGTCTCGCGTGTTCTTTCTTCAAAAGATTTGTTAAATCTCATTGCATTTACATAATACAATCCAATAAAGTATCGATGAACAATAGTAGAGAGTATAATGCCTGCTTCATCGTCAACAATATACTCGGTGTTTGGTCGATTCAACGCACTGTATCCGTCGTAGCCTTGAGCCAAGTAGTGTCGCGTACAGACGGTATATGTTTGGTTAACGTCCACGGGACCGATGATGTTTAAACTGCCCTGAGATGTGGACGTATCATCGTCATCAGACGGCGTTGGCGGAAGACGTTCAGTCAGGTATAAGTTACGAATGCGTTTCTCGGGAGGTGCACTTGGATCGTATTCTATTTTCAATCCACTGACAACCGGAAATCGTCCTTCTTGCTTTGGAATCTTTGATAATGCACTTTCAAGAGCATCCCATATCTGCTGTCCTGTGATCCTTATCACGACCACCGTATCTTCAAATGGAAGTATCTCCCGTATATCGGACAGAGTGATCACTCCCGGACCATACGTCGCATCCGATCGTATCGATCCACCGCACAGAATAGCGCAATCAATGTTATAACTCAAACATGATTGGTAAGCATACATCATTAAATCGGCGACAAAGTTACCAAAAGCTGATTCAGACGATCGGACAGTCGTGGACTTACAGTCCCAGGGCGTTGTGGTATATGCAACTGGTTTAGCAAGCACGGTAGATACTTCTTGTGTCGCAATTTCTACTGTTGTCTCCATTTCGGCGTCTGGTGGGACGTCGCGGGTTACTTCCTTTCGGGTCACTAGTTAGAGGTTTTGTGCATGTATGATGAGTTGTACACGTCAAACAGATTACAATAGAACAACTAATTGCAGAACTTTATAAATTGGATATTGTAACGATGGCAATAATTTTGCATTCATACCTTCAACTTTCTTGATAACCTTTCTCCCTCCACTTTCGCCTATCTCGCACTCTACTATACTTAATTCACGGAAATCAGTTCCGCTCTTAACTAACTTCACTCCATCATCTTCCTGATCACCGTCAATACTTTGTCTCGTCCACCCGTCCTTCATTTCGCATCCTTTTCCGACGTAATAGAAATGATCGTGTCTATAGAAGAACCAGATGTGGAATGTAACAACATGGTTATATAAATATGTCTACTATTGTCATATCGCTTACCCGCCAAGCATGAGGTCGATTTCGTCCTGACATCCACGTGCAAGGATGATATCATTGGGAAGTCGCGAATGTGTGATTGCTATTACCAAGTCAACAGCATGCGGACCATTGGGATCACGTAACTCGGCTGAAAGATCTTTACACGCCTGTATAAAATCGATATGCTTTGACGGCGGTAGACTGTCAAATGCGTCGGGAATTACAGACATCTGGTTATGACTAATGTTACATGGTAAATGTTCAATCGAAGGGTGTCAGATAGAGGCTATTTACCCAGGAATCGTCTCCAGCCATTCTCTGCAAAAAAAGAAAAGCAATAGCGTTATAAAGTTAGACTTTGTATAGTCTTAATTCTGATGAATGTGACTCTTTTAAAGTCACATATCCTTCATTATTCCCTACGCACAGCGCCCTAATGCAGTTCACTCTGCATAGAATTCCTGTTCACGCTTCAAACATACTTCTCGACAAGCCCAATGAATCCAATCTTCAACCCGCTCTTGTTAAGCACTACAAATTTTTTCCCCCCACCCAGAGGCTTATCGGTATCAGGATCGACAACGTTGGAGAGCAACCAAGGAAACTTGGTCTGCGCAATGTGGGATCTGAGTACTGCAACGCCAAAATCAAAGTCATGATTGCCTATGCAAGCAACGTCGATGCCAAGACTGTTTAAAGGAGCAACCTGTGAGATTTGTGAAGAAAATGAGCAAGGACGTTGAATATGATTACATAATAGCAAAAATAAGATCGGACTCTTTTGCAATGAATGGCAAGCACAGTATGCATCTTTCTTAGTCATTCCATTTTCGTATAGCGTCAATTTCTACAATAGCTCTCTCCTCGCGCTTCCCTCTTTATTTTTCCAACCTACCATATGCAGCCCTTTGGTTATGCTACTCTCGACACTTGGATTGAACGCATCTCCGCCAAATGTGACCAAAGTCGTGTCCGCATCAAAAGAATTCCTAAATTCTTTCAGTAGCGTGGCAAAACGAGCAGCTCCGCCAACTGGTTCACGACTTTGTTCTTTGAGGTGATAGACATCGTTAAAGTGAAGTATATTGAGCTTGGTAGACATTTCGAGATACCGACACTGGAAGAGACTCAGTATGTCAAGAATAGGGAGAGGGGTTTTTTTGTTCGCATGTTGTGCGAATAATATCCCCAACTGCAGGGGGGATCTACCAAAGATGACAATACCATGGATTGTAGATTAAATAGACTCGAGTTTATAAATATAAGTCTTTGTTTTGTGTTTATTAAGCTTTGTTATACCCTGTCAACTGATTTAATCACATGTCCAAGAACGCGAACTTTCATACTATTTACAGTTCCCCCGAAAAAGTAATGGCGTATATAACGTCATCAATAATCTTGATAGTAAACAAGTGTTTGTGTCGATCCGCTAACAATTCAACCAGCCAACACACTTAAAATTGGATAACCTTACGAATAATGTACTTACCTTTAAAAGTTAAACGAGATTACACATCGTTAGCTGTCATATTAATATGGGGCATGCTGCAACAAAACCAGACAAAGTGAACATTATGTTAAGTAGTAGTAGTTAACTAATTTGACTAATAACATTTTGAAAGTAATAATGGTGCTTGTTCATAGCTTATGGACTTGTTAATTTTAATGCTCACTTTATCATACCAGAAGGCGAGGAATATAAACCATAACATGATTAATATAGGATTACCTCTATATATATAAATATATTAATATGAAACTAATTTACATCAAATCGACCATGGAACCCAAGAATTATAGCACCATTAGAAGCATTCTAAAAAAAGCTCAAGGAGAAAAAATTGCACCTTGTGTTTTTAAAAAAAATAAATAAAATAAGGCTAATTTGGACTGAAAAGTTATAAAAATATGTTAATGCCAGGCTTTGGAAGCAACCGTACAATTGGCAACAGCATTAAACCTGATTATTGATGTATGCAATTTAAATGTATCAGAAACTACAACAAAATTCAGCTAATAGAAAACGATCCATGACCGATTCTAATAGATCAGGCATTATTGGAATACGGAATACTTTTAATAATATAGAAGTCGTATTGTAAGGTGACATGTCTCTTGTATAGTTTGGTAAGCGTTAAACTTAGTATGCGCACATGTTCAATCCAAGAACTTGACCGTGATAAGACAAAACTGAAGAATGCAGACTACAGTATATTTATACATTATGACGTACAACATTTTTTTGTAATGAAAAAAACTTGAAAACTCCTTTATACTTCAAAGTCACAAACAGGTTTGCATCAACACTTTTGTTTGTAACGCTAAAATATGATGAAACAATAGCTCGTTACGCGTTGGTGGCGAAATAGAATAGTAAAAGGAGAGACGTCTTAAATGCTGTTTATGTGGCGCTTTGCATATTTTCTACGATATTAAATAGGTAACATCTTCATTTCCATTAATTATCATTAATGTCTTTTGAAATTTACAATTTAATGGCAATTGTAACAAATGCTGTGAAATTTGTTTCGCTTAATTTCTCTGGGACAGGTTATTGAAGACTTTTAAAAGGAGCAGCCACAATATTTATATTACAATAAATAATTGCTTTTCTCATGCCCCAATCCTATGCAGGATGGGAAAGAGCATATATACAACACTGACAGACTCCTACTCATTCTAGACAAAAATGATTTAACGCGCATTTTTGAAAGAGAAAAAAATGAGCAGATTTGTTGAAAAAGCCAAAATACAAACGAATTGCACCGACAAAAAGCTAAACTTTGTTGTCTAAGACAGAAAAGTTTTACTCTTTCCACAAATTCTGAATTGGTGGATCAGCTCAAAAGTGTTAAAACTAATTATATTGGTTATTATTATCAATTAATCCCAAGTCGGCCCAAACTAAGTAAAGCCGTTAGTTAAGTTTCTTATACTCGGAAGGACACTTAATCATTGAGTTTCGATAATCAATTTACATAAGCAAACTCTCACTGATGGTACAATTCAATGAAAAGTTTTTCCAGCTTCTTGAACGAATACATATTGATAAGTTTAGTAGATCAGAGAAACAGTTCTCAAACTTTCAAAAAAATTTTTAACATTAAAATTATATGACAAGGAAAGCTGTCAATATTAGCACTTTAATAGGTAACCTTCCAAGTTTTAAGAAATATAATTAAGGAATATAATACCCACAATGTATGTTTATTACAAGACGGCCATATAGAGCCAGAAAAACTTCTTTGACAAAGTGCTCCTGTTCAAGAGAAGAAAAGATAAAGCTACAATCTTAATTATAGTACTGGAGAAATACACTGCCAATTTTTTATCAAAATTCCCGTTCTCTTCAGTATATTGGTAAACAGAGTTGTTGTTTTTAAAATAAGCAGCATATAGCAATTGTCAATCTCGAATGCAACAAACAATCAAAACTGTCTGCAGAATCCTTCAATACACAATTTTTTTCCAAAGATGACGACCAATTTACAACCTTTTAATGCGGGTATAATCCTGGGCTTAAAAGGTAACGCTTGAACATTTTTATTTATTATTATGCCTTGATACACTAAACATATCCTTTTGCATGTAACAATGAATAAGGTTTATTAGCGCAAAATTTTTATAACCGTACTCATGCGAATATTAACAAGCTCCGCTGATAAACATTGGTAATAGAACCAAATAATTAAGTGTTTCAAAGCTAAAAATGACAAAAACAGAGATGAGGAAAGACAAATACAACGCTTCAAGTCTGAGAGTATATTGTGTCGTTCGACATAATTTATCCTCTTACGAGTACATCTTATAATGTACAAAGCAATATTATTTTTCCCAAACGTAAAACTAAATCTTATTGCCAATGAATAAACAAACGCCTCGTAATTCATATCATTGTCGTAATTGAATAGTTAGACAAATGTATAATTCACAGTACGAACAATCATTCGGTATGCGATTAAACAATGTTATACATCTCAAGTGCGATGCGAAATGGGACAATAGCAAAAGTCAGCGTTTGGCGAATAGCCTGTATATGTCGTGCATAAATTTTGTCAAACTATCCAAGATTACTTTTATCGCAATTATTTATGTAATATGAAGTGACTGTAAAAACAACAGTAAAGTAGCTTTTGCGTTTACTACCAAGTGTAAAAATATTACTGCTTAATTGTTATGTAATATGTTTTACTGGTTACAATAATAACGGCTTTATTGCTTTTGTTTTCACATCAATAAACAGCACAATTCACGTATTAATCTAACATTAGTTTTATGATATCTTAAACCGCTGTTTTCTTCTTGACAACTGCATCTACATTGACTGTTTATGCCACATACCTTATCACTTGCTTGACACAATCGCACTTTAGGCCTTGTTGCCTCTCTCAATTTACTTGTCACTTTGATTATAGGAATTTTAGCTGAGTTTACCAAATTTAAATCATTGCTTTTAGAAGATAAAATTACATTCAAACGTCAGGGCACATCCTGGTCTATACTATTTTATTTTTTTTTGCAAGGCAGTAACATAACATTCAGTCCATAATGTAATGTAATGTCTATAGAACTGATATGCTTTCAAAAGGAGCCTATTCAGACATGTTGTATCATGCCATTTAGCTGCATCTTTCTTAATTTTGCTTGCTAAATTCTATTTAAATTAGTGTACAAATTTGCCATATTAAATAATTGCAGACACACTAATACTACACATTTGATTTAGAGGCCAGAAAAATCATCAACATCAATAAATCAAAGTTTTAGTAACAGCTTTACAACACTTTTATTTATATCATAATAATAATAGTAATTACAAATCAACTTTAAACACTACTTTATAAATTTCCATTTCTAATGTGATGATTTTTTCACAGAATAGAACTCTGTCAATTCTTGAACCCTCTTTTTTAGTTTGGAGCTATCATTATAAGTAAAAAAATAAATTTTGTTTCGTGCTTTAATGTAACCTTGCTCAGCTGCTTTTTGATATAATTCAATAGCTTTTCGTTCATCTTGTTTTACTCCAACTCCCTTTTCATAACACCAACCAAGATTATATTGCCCATATGCATTTTTTTGTTCAGCAGCTTTTTGGAACAATTCAATAGCTTTTTGAATATCTCTTTCTACTCCAATTCCTTTTTTGTAACATAAACCAAGACTAACATGTGCATACTCATTTTCTTGCTTGACTGCTTCTTGGTACAATTCTACTGCTTTTTGTATGTTTTTATCTACACCAATTCCATTCTCAAAACACCATCCAAGGCTGTCTTGTGCATAAGATTCTCCTTGCATAGCTGCTTTTTGATATAATTCAATAGCCTTTTGATAATTTGTTTTAATATTAATAGCTTTTATATATAGATGACCAAGATTATATTGTGCACCAGTATGCCCTTGTTCAGCTGCTTTTTGATACCATTTACTGCTTTTCCTTCATCTTTTTCTATTCCAGTTCCATATCTATAACACCAACCAAGATTAGTTTGTGCTGCAGCATAACCTTGTTCAGCAGCTTTCTGATACAACTCAACTGCCTTTTGAATGTTCTTTTTTACTCCTCTTCCATTCTTATAACACCAACCAAGATTAGTTTGTGCTCTAGCACATCCTTGTTCAGCAGCTTTCTGATACAACTCAACTGCCTTTTGAATGTTCTTTTCCACTCCTGTCCCATTGTCATAACAAATGCCAAGATTATTTTGTGCTCCAGCACATCCTTGTTCAGCAGCTTTTTGATACAACTCAACTGCTTTTGGAATATTCCTTTCCACTCCAGTTCCACTCTCATAATACCAACCAAGACTAGTTTGTGCCACAACATATCCTTGTTCAGCTGCTTTCTGATACAACTCAACTGCCTTTTGAATGTTCTTTTCTACTCCTGTCCCATTCTCATAACAAATGCCAAGATTATTTTGTGCCCTGGCATAACCTTGTTCAGCAGCTTTCTGATACAACTCAACTGCTTTTTGAACATTCTTTTCCACTCCTGTCCCACTCCCATAACACAAACCAAGACTACATTGTGCCCTAACATTTCCTTGATCAGCAGCTTTCTGGTACCATTGGATGGCTTGCTCAAGACTTCTATCA